AGAAACAGAACGAGAGATTACAAAATCTGGAGAAGCACGTCTATCCAAGGAAGAAGTCTAGTGCGTTGTTAAGACACAGCCAGCCCTGGCCCGTGGGGCTCGGTTGGCTGGGTGTCATCCTGTGCACCAGGAGACTGCTTTTTCAATTCCTGGGGGTGGGCGGGCAGGAGGCAGCAGGTTGATGTTGGGCTCTCACATCAATGTTTCTCTCTCCTTTCCTCTCTCTAAAAATCAATAAACTATTTAAACAAAAAAACAGAGCCCATATCTAGCAATACACCTTTCCCTCCTGATTTATATCCTCACGACTCGGCATCTGCCTTCATTAAATGTGGGGCATCTCCCCTTCTCCACCCCATGTTTACCCTCTGGGAAACTCTTTTCTAAGAATGGAGTTATTAATGGCGACATAATAGTTAATCAAATGGAGTTATCATGACTTCCTTGGCCTTTCTCTCATACTGGGATATTTAAGATGCTTTCTCTCTCTCTCTCTCTCTCTCTCTCTCTCTCTCTTTTTCTTGCTATTACAATAATGTTGCAATGAAAATCTTTGTGCTTAATGCTTTCCCTTTGCTTAAGTTTTTTTTTTTTTTTATCCTCACCAGAAGACATTTTTGCATTTATCTTCAGATAGAGTGGCAGAGAGGGAGGGAGAGAGAGAGAGAGAGACATCGACGTGAGAGAAACACATCGAGTGGCTGCCACCCACACGACCCCAACCAGGGCCCGGGACAAACTGCAACTGAGGTACGTGCCCTTAGCGGGAACCGAACCCGGGTCTCTGATCCCCAGGCCGACGCTCCAACTGCTGAGCCAAACCAGCCAGGGCTACTTAAGATTCTTGAGATAAATTCTCAAAGCTGAAGCTTACTAGGTCAAACTATATGAAGATTTTAAAGGTGCTTGATACTTAACAGTTCAGACTGTTTTACAAAAAAGGGAAAATTACTCCCTTTTAATGTTGGAATCTGTAAGTATTTGCTTGGGAGATTTGCCTCCGTGTAATAGTGCTCTGTTCATACTAAAAGGAGTTTGTTTATGGTGTGTTCGTTGCCTAGTGGGGGGTGGGGGGAGGAGTCAACCAGATTGGCACTGAAATCCATGCGGATGATCTGTAGGTGGGCATGTCTGATAAACAGGCAAAGATGGGAACATTCTTATAGGGGATAAGGGAAAGGACCACACCTAACTGCTAAACCCAACTGCCATCTCAGAAGGAAACAGGTTCTGCCCAAGGCCTGAAGGTGCATAGCACCTGTGTCAGGTGCGATCCTGGCGGAGTTTGACTTGATGAGGTGATCGACAAGATGCATCGTGTCCTGAAGCTATCTCGGCAGATCTCTTACTCAAAGAGGTGGTGGTTGGACCAGAGTTCTGGCACTGCAGTGCTGCTACTGGGGAAGGCCAAATGAGTACTCACTCTGGCTGTTGTCCCTGGAGCCTCGCTAAGCCTCTTGGTCTGTCTGTAACAGTGTTGGCTTAACTGTGGATCGGGCCCTAAGCTGAGCATGACGATTAGACTGTTTGACTCCGGCTGTGGCCTCTGATTACACTACATCATGACTACTCCCACTTCCTATTTCCCTGCCACAGACCCTCAGTGCACCACCCAAGGCGGCTGGCTGTGGGGTGAAGGGGCAGAGAAGGACTGTGCCAAAGAGCGAGACGGGAGACTAACATGACCCAGAGGTCACTCAACATCACAGACGCTTTAACTGGAAGGAATGGTAGTGGTGATCTGGGTCACTTGATCTCAACCTCTCTGGGGACACAGATCTCTTTGATAATCAGATGAAAGCAGTTGGTGTTTCCAGAAAAATGCACCTCCCCAAATTCTGGGTACAGTTCCAGGATGTTTCCCGACTCCCTGACACCCGTCTGTCTACACTAAGCCTTTAATTTTGCAGATGAGGACATGGAAACCTGGAAGAGGTGCAGGGCCTTGCCCAAGGTTACACAGAGGAAGTAGCTGAATTCACACTCGCATCCCCTGATTACCAACATGGGACCTGTTGGCTAACACCAGGAGGTTTCCTCTCTACGTTGAGCCCTGTTTGGGGAATTATGGAACATTAGAGTGCTTACCACCAAGGAGATAGAACGCAGGCTCATGAAAGGAAACTGAAATCAATTAGTAAGCAATATTCCTGCCATAGAGCCTTCTTCGGAAAGTAGAAACTAATGCCTTCCATTAATTCAGCAGGCACTTACGAGAACCTAAGAGCATCTCCTAAAATCTCGACTCATTGGAAGACTAATTATTTACTGGAAATTGTGACTCTGTACTCTCAAGCCTGCAGAGGAGGTTGCGGTCCTGCAATCCTCCAAGTGATTCTTGGGTGGTGGGAACCTCACCCTGAAACGTTCACTACCGAGGTGCGTGGTGTTTCATCCACGGCCAGTTAAGTGTCTCGTTAATGGAGGAGACCAGAGTGTGAGCTGAAGGGTCGCTGCGTAGCTTCTTCTGTGGCCGCAGCTACTCAACAAGAAGAAAAGCTCCGAGTCTTTGGGGACATACATTTCATAAGTAGCAGTAGGAGAATCGGATTCCGGTCTCACCTTTCTGGAAGGAAGCGAGAAGCTCTTTGGACTGATATTTATCTTCTCTCAGTTGGGCGCCAAGAGGAGGAGCCTGGTGGTGAGGGCTGGAGACTTGCCCTGGATCAGAGCTTCTCCGCTGACTGGCTGCGTGACCCTGGGCAAAGCTCTTTGCTTCGTCGAGCCTTGGTTTTCTCATCTGCAAATTGGGAATAGTAATACTCTTCCCCATAAAACGTACCTCAGGCTGAGAGAGAATAAATACCCAAGGAAGAACAAACCTGGAAGGGGCCCCTCTCCAGGGCTGGGGCTCAGACCCTGTTGGAGAAGTCACGGTCATAGTCCATGGGGTGGAGGAGAAGTTTGCTGGGCTGTCTGGGCCAGAGCTGGCCCACAGTTGCTGGGCAGCAGATAACAGCCCCTGTCCTCTGGGCACAGGAAAGATGAGACTGACGGCAGGTGTGTTGCGTCAGAGCGCGGCTACCAATGCCAGGCCTGGAGTGCACGGTGCCTGCGTCGGGAGGGCCGGGGCTGCAAGGTCTCCGAGCAGCGAGACACCCTGGGCACACGGCTGGACCAGCACCACTGAAGGTCCCCAGTGACAGATTCTGCAGCAGGAATAAGATCCAAACCAGGAAGAGAAGCCCCCTTCTTCCTGGAGGGTCCCCCAGTGCATGGCTTAATGTTGTACTTGCTCTGCAGGAGGAGAGCTTACGGGTTCCAGTCATTATCTCAGAGCTGAGACCCAAGGCTGAACTTGGAGCTGAGAGGCAACAATGTGATAACTGGTATAATGGGTGGTCAAAAACGTTTGCATTAAAGCAGGAAAAGCCACAGAAACTCCCTTAACCCCTGTTTATTTCCCCCTCCTTCAGTCCTGTAAATTTTTACCACCAATAAATGTCAAACCTCTCCAACTTGTTTTGTAATTTACTCTCCAGAAGCTCATTTCCCTCTGGGGTGTTCTGTGTTGTTTTGTTTTCTTAATGAGGCACGAGTCTTTCTTCTCTTGGCACACACTTAAAAGAGACTCATGCATAAAAGAGGGAAAACACTCTCACAACCTGAGACCCAGTGTTTCATTTCAGGGCATTTTTCTCCACTCACACGTGAACCCGTTTCCCCACCGTCTCTCTCTCTCATTCCTAAGCAGTCCACCTGTCCCTCCCAAACACTGTAGGAGGGTCCCAAAGCATGTGACCTCCAGTGGCGGTGGAAGGAACCGGACCAGATCCAGGAGCCGGTCCTTCTCTGCTTCTAAGGACAATGCAGTGGCCACCTCAGGTCAGACCATGGGGTAATCTCCGTGGACGAACCTGAAAAAGTTCCACTTCCAACCATTTTTAGAAGAAAATGAGCAGCAGAGCAAACAGCAGACTTGCAGGACAGTCACCAGCGCCAATGTTATTCAGAAGGTTTTGGGAAAGGACGATTGTGTCAACTGGAGAAGCAAAGCAGGGAGAGCGGAGCTGCAAAGAGACAGTGGATCTCCTGGGAGATCGTGTTATTAATAGGCACCACGTTTGTGTCAAGACAATGTTCTTAGGCATCAACCACCCTGTTCTTCCAAAATATTTCATTCCCTTGAAGAGTCAGACTTAATTAGTGTTAACGGATGACTCCCCTGCTGGAATTAACTCAATGGGGGGGGGGGGTAAAACTTCCTGCAAGGATGAAGCTGTTTTGCTAACTTACTCTGTTTACCATCCTTCAGAAGGGCTAGGAAGGTGATCACTTGAGTCCCAAAAAACGGCAGTTAGAAAACTAGAGAAATGTAATCTTTCCACAAAAATGCATATCTATGTGGCTGTCTTACCTACTGCTTTGCAAGCAGTGGGCATTGTGGGCTGTGAACCCTGGAGGAGACTGGCAGGAAGCCATTTCAGTATGTCTTCAAGGTCTGCCTTCCTACCCCGGTGTACCAAGGAAACCGTGCTCTTAAATGCTCAAGGATAATACTGTTTATCCCTGGGTGATGTGATTGTGGACGATCCTTACTTTCTTCTGTTTACCTGTATTTTCTACCGTGCACATGTATTATTGGTGAAATTAAATATATATAAAAAATGTTAGTGGCAAAAACACATTTTGAAATTCTCTAAATTTTGGGCTGTCTTACTGCATCCTGTCTCTCATCTAGCCAGACCCTGTTTAGTCTCTTCACTCCCCCTGTTGAGATTAGCTGCCCAAAATCATCAGACGTCATTTTTGGAAGAGATTTCTTTCTTCATTTTTGAACTTCTATATATAACCTTCTTTTTCTTCTCCCAAGTGGTGATTGATGCCACACCTGCCTGTGATGTGACAAGACGCAGGCGGTGAAGAAAAGCCTCTCATGAGTCCTGCGCCATCCGGGCAGGCAGAAGGCACTAGCCCTGTAGGGTGTACTCTACCCGCGGGCACCTTGAGACTGTCACCTGGTGTCACTAACCCTTTGATCTGTTGCTCTGCTCTTTCAGATTTTTGACAGCGAAGCCAAAGACCTTGAGAGAGAAGTTTGCTTTATTGATATTGCCTGCGATGAAATTCCAGAACGTTACTACAAAGAATCTGAGGTGAGCAATAGATGGGATGACGTGTGGAAGAGATTCATTCATTAATTCAACAAGTATTTTTTCAAATATGTTTTTATTGATTTTAGGGAGAGAGAGAGAGAGAGAAACATTGATGAGAGAGAAACATCCGTTGGCTGCCTCCTGCACGCCACGCACTGGGGATCGAATCAAACCAGCAATTGAACCAGCAACTTCTTGGCGCATAGGAAGAGGCCCAGCCAACTGAGCCACACTGGCCAGGGCTCAGTGAGTATGAAGTCCATCCTCTCCTGGAGACTTCCATCTGTCTTTATGTTGATTCAGTCTGGTTTCACATTTTGCTGGATTCTTAATTTTGAGTCTCAAAATGAAGTCCCGACTCCTCAGGGCCCATCCATTGCCTGGCCGCCACTCAGTTTCACTTTAGTCTTCCTATCTCTCCAATTCTGCCATCATTCTCGGCAGCAAAACATTCACAAGGTTGGACTACCCAACATACTGGCCTCTCTAAAATCAGCAGTTACCGCCCCTGCCCAGTGGCTTGGTTAGTTCGAGGGTCATCCTGTATACCAAAAAGGGTTGTGGGTTCTATCCCTGGTCAGGGCATATAAGGGAGGCTGCTGATCAATGTTTCTCTCACCCCAATATCTCTCCTCCTTCCTCTCTTTAAAAATTTTTTTTTTCTTTATTGCTTTTAAAGAGAGAGAGGGATAGCCCTGGCCGGTTTTGCTCAGTGGTTAGAGCGTCAGCCTGCGGTCCTGAGAGACCCGGGTTCGGTTCCCGCTAAGGGCGCGTACCTCGGTTGCAGTTTGTCCCCGGCCCTGGTTGGTTGTGCGGGTGGCAGCCACTCGATGTGTTCCTTTCACATCGATGTTCTCTCTCTCTCTGTTCCTCTCTCTCCCTCCCACTCTACCTGAACAAAAAAAATGGAAAAATGTCCTCGGGTGAGGATAAAAAAAAAAGAGAGAGAGAGAGAGAGAGAGGGATAGAAACATTGATGAGAGAGAACATCGATTGGCTGCCTCCCGCATGCCCCCCACTGGGGATCATGCCCACAACCTGGGCATGTGCCCTGACCTGATCGAACCGGCAACCTCTTGGTGCATGGGATGATGCTCAACCACTGAGCCACACCAGCCAGGCCTTCTTTCTCTCTTTTTAAAACCAATAAAGACATGCTCAGATGGAGCTTCAAAACAAAACACAACGGCAGTTACTGCTGGCATCCTATTTCCCCAGGCTTCTGCAGTACCCGTGTCCCCGTCTGTGAGGGCAGGGGATGTGTTTTACGTGTGTCTCTGGGGGTCTAATGCACAGAAAATGGTCAGTCAGTCCCCTCTGAATGAACATTGAAACCTGGGCAGCTCCTCTCAGCACGGAGCCTTTTCTCTATCCAAGCAGGAAGCCCTTTCGTGGGGGCTTCTCCTTTTTTTGTCTTGACCAAGGATAAATTCAAGAGAATATCATTCTCCGCAGCTCCTACCCTACAGAATCCACTGTTCGCTCAGTCCAATCGTGTTCCTTTACTGCTGGTGCGAGTCACCCTTTACTTCCCGGTAGTGTTTCATTGGCGCTGCGGAGGGGACCTGGGTGATCCCCTTGTAAATAAGGCCCAGCCCTGCAAGGACAGCAGATGCGGGGCTATTGTTGTTTAGCAACCTGCAGCCAATCACAGTGTGTGCATCAGGGCCCCAGACTCATTCTTGAGCCGCAGCGTGGACCTTGAAACTCTTCTCAGGTTTTAAGACACAGTAAGTAAACCCGTTAAAAATGGATCCCACCACTGCACAAACTGGGCTCCCAGTGTGGCTCGGGGGGTTTTGTTTTCTTTTTCCTTTGTTCGCCTCCACGCCTTGGGATTCGTTTGGATATAAAGGTCTGACCTGAGCTGAGCAATCGCGGAGCAGCTTAATTGCAGGCATGGGCTGCAGCTGTAGTCCTTTCAAAGACCAGGGGAGGCTGTGAGGTGTGTGACTCTCAGTTTGACTCAAAGGCTGAGCTTTGTAACACCATCAACTTATAGTGCGCTCTGCAGCCGGCCACACCTGTGAATTTTCAGAGAAACAAAGTGAGATGCTGTCTGTGTAACTGTGGAGAAACCTGGGTTCCCCCGTCTCATGCGGAGGAGACATTCCTCTGGGTTCATATCAAGTTCACCAATACTTAGGGGCCTCGGTGTTGAGCAGGGCATCGTGCAACATGTTGGGCGAAGCTGTTGCCCCATCAGCTCTGTGGTGCCTTAGGCCTTGGGGTGCTGCTGTCCTTCCGGGACATCTGGTCTCTTGGGGAGCCCAGCCTTCCACAAAGACGTGTTGCTAGAAAACGCTAATTTCAGCTCTTGCTCTTAGACTGCTGTGGGGTGGTTCTGCGTGTTACTCAGGGAGTTCCCTCCTGATCTGTGGAAAGGCTGAGGTCAAGGATGGAATACTAATGAGGAACTCAGCAAGTCTCATTTCTGCCCCGCGGTGCCTGATGCATTTCCCTGTGCTTCCTGCTCCCAAGAACCAGCACTGGGAGCTCATTTTCATTGACACAGTCATTCCAGAAATGTGGTCTTCTTGCTTCGTAGTCACGCAGTGCTCTAGGTCATAGTATTCTTTTCTGGATGTAGTTTGGCCAAGGAAATGAGCAGTGATTAGTCATTCATCCGGTAAATATTCACTGAGCTCTCACCAAGTGTGACATACAGGACTAAGATGGGGACATGGCAACGGGCAGAAAAGACACTGAGGGTTCCTCCCCTCAGGACACTTCCAATCTAGCAGGGGACCCAAACAATAAAGAAATAGTCTCATGCCCTGGCCGGTTTGGCTCAGCGGTTGGAGCATCGACCTGTGGTCCAGGGAGACCTGGGTTCGGTTCCCGCTGAGGGCACATACCTCGGTTGCAGTTTGTTCTGGGCCCTGGTTGGGTCGTGCGAGTGGCAGCCACTCGATGTGTCCCTTTCACGTCGATGTTTCTCTCTCTCTCTTACTCTCTCTCCCTCCCCCTCTATCTGAATAAAAAATGGAAAAAATGTCCTCAGGTGAGGATAAAAAAAAAAAAAGAATAGTCTCATGAGTACACATCAGGAAACTGAACGGAAAAGCATGGGATCAGGAAAGGTGTTCTGCAGGAAATGACACATGAGACCCACAGGATGGAGAGCGCGGGGGGACCTTGCTCCCGGCAGGGGTAGCAGGATGTGTGGGAGCCCCAAGATGGCACGGATGAGGAACCAAAAGAAAGCCAGCTCGGCTGCCACGGTGGGATCAACCCCCACCCACTGTCGGCGGAGCTCTGGTCTGTGGCTTCTAGACCATATGCTAGCTCATGCTAGCTCATGCTAGCTCACAGTTCTGTCAAGAGCTCCATGAAGACAAGAACTGTCTGTCACCATGCGTCAGCAGCTGGCACATGGCAGGCGTCACGAAACGGTTGTTCAATGAATGAGTGGCAGCCAGAGGCGCTGTTTTTCCCGTGCAGCAGCCACAGTTCCAGGCTTCAGGTGCCCAGTAAGCTCAAAGTGGAGAACCAGAGTTCCTTTCTGTTGATTTTTAACCCGAGGCACGCAGCTTGATGGGCCTCTTCTTCCCATTCATCTTTGTAAGTTGACTCTGTCAGCATCATAAAGAAGGATGCATTTTCTGTGGGGGAGCTGCTGTGCCAGGGGGCTGAGGTGTTTGACGCTTATGAATTCAGACCAGGGTTATCTAGGTCAGTCCTCTCCACCCAGCTCCGGTCACACTCGCCCCCCCGTCCAGACTGAAGAAGGGGATTGAGGCACTTTTTTCTTTTTCCATTTCTTCTTGGAAACCTCCGAGCCACACAGTCAAGAATGCCTCTCCCTAGAACCGCTTCGTCTCAAGTTTTGTTCTCATACCCATTGCAGAACTCTGCGCGGCATGGCTGTGTTAAAAAAAAAAATCACTGACTTCTCAGGCACAGGGAGCACATCCGTCAGTCTCGACACAGCCCCACCAAGGCCCTGTCCCCCTCAGGGGCAGAGGCTCTTGGTCCCGACTCAGCTGGCACCACCAGTGCAGCACATAGGAGAGGAGGCCAGAATCTGAGCAGGTTGTGCTTGTTCTGTGGTTGACACGTGGCTTGTTAGTGCCTCTTGCCAAGATTTCTATCTCCACCCTTTGAAGCTGTCACAGCTTCAAGGTGGAGATCCCAGCCCAGGAAGGAGGACTCTGTAGGAAATCGGGGGGTGCCGGAGGAGGGCACGCGGAATGCCCCCTACCCGCAGAGCTGAGCAGTTTGGGAGTGCAAGAGTCCAGCTGACCTCAGCCTGCAGCACGGGTCCGCCCGGCAGTCCCTGAGAGCCAGGCCCAGAGCGCTCCGATGCAGCGGCCTCCGGGCCGGCTCCTGTGTCCTCTCCCCACGGCCCTTCCGAAGGCGTGGCTCCCACTGTAAAGCCAGGTGTGACCGGGGAAGACGTGTCTCTCTGTTGGCCTCCTCGCAGCCCCCCCAGAAGCACAAATGTGGAGGGCAGACAAAGCAGCTTCTTAATTTTCAGACATGTCTTGAGTAGAAGGGGAAGAAAAAGAAATGAAATTCCCTGGTGGAGGACATTTAGAAGTAGAGGATTTGAGGTGTGCTTTTCTCATTTATTTTTATGTTTTATCTTCATTGTTTTATGCCAAGCATAAGGGATATCTCTAGACCAGTGGTTCTCAGTTAGGGGCAGTTCTCAATTACCTGGCAATTTCTGGAGATATTTCTGATTGTCGCTGCTGGGTAGGGGGTGTTTGCCCTGGTGGGCAGAGGCCAGAGATGTAGCTAAACCTTCTGCACTGCCTAGAGCGCCCCAGAACGGGAATTATCCGCCCAAATGTCAGAAGTGGCAGTCAAGGAACCCTGCTGTAGACCTATCCAAGGAAAGGACATTTAGTAAAGCATGTGAGTAGCAGGACTCATTAGCGGATTTCTTTAGTATGCGTTCACTCAGTGCCTGCCACGTGCCAGGCTCTGTGCTGGGCACAAGGCAACAAAGGCCACAATTGGGTCTAGTCTCCACTACCCTTTGAACTTGATCA